CCAGCTCACATGCTACATTGTCATGGTTCCACTTCCGCTGGGGGTGCTGATAAGATCTACGCGAGGTCAAAACTGCAGTCCACCCTTGATGAGAACAATTTTTGGGAAAACAAGGCTATGTAAAATTCAATGGAAACGTCAGCTCTATCATATCATTGTGGTAACTTTATACTACCAGCCCTTCATTACCTCAAACGAAATAGGGTGAATAAATCTCATATAACTGTTCTACTCGTATTCTCTAATCGTGGTTTAAGCTTTTGGTTTATATAGATCTTTTATTTCCCGATAACACATTTTTATGATATGTTTAACCTCCAATATAGTAATATAATTAGGCAATTAAATGTTTATATGTAGCGTCGATTACACAGATAATCGTAAAAAACTCGATTAATATAATATATTTCACTAGAGTTACTAATTTCATTTTTTTAATTATAACGGTATCCAAAATCTATAACTCAGCTGTAATTGGATAAAGAAAGCGATTCACCATCATAAAATCCGAAAAATCCTCCATCTTCTTAGATCGCTTTGCAGAGTAGCTTTAGCACATAGCATTTCTTCCGGCCCTAATCTATAGAATTCTACTACCAACATCGTCCACCCACTTCCTCCTCTAATTAAATTGGTTTGCTGTTATGATGCTTTGCACTCCCTTAACCTCTAGCCTTCTGCTTGATTATTCTTTGAACTCGGGCTCTTCAAGTATTCATTGAAGATGCATCTCTGATCAAGTAAGCTTAGTCAAAACAACACATTTTAATTGCTAGCCTAATTTTTTATTTTGTAGATTCTTCTAAAAAATGTCCCAGTAATTCTAAGAAACAAGCATGTTCTGGCATAAACTGATGTAAAAGCTCTTAATGCCTCTATATATGTTGAGGTTAAGCCAGATACAAGTTGGATCGCCGTCGATTTAAACTGGGTTGGCAAAAATGAAGGAAAATTATTATTAAATGGTACTTATAAACTTTTTGCACCAATCATTTGAAAATCAGAGAAAGGGGAAATCTTTTAATCGGAGGGCTAAAGAAAGATAACATCGTAAATTAGGCGAGAAGGTTAGTATTATTGAGTGGAAGCTAATTTCCCATTTTGCTGTTATATGTGATTGCTGGTGCATATGGCTCTCGTTAAAATCCTGCAATCTACCAGAAAAGGGAACCATGTAGGCGTGACTTCAAATTACATTCGGATATAAAGCACGTCAACTAATGATCGTTTGAGCGGAAGTACTTGTTTGCGTTGGTTCACTCTAATCCATTAGAATATATTTGTAGATTTACTTTATGCATATGCCTAAGTAGCTAAACGTATTGGTACGTGTGTGTATGTGTGTATGTATATATACTCATCTCTCACGATAATCCATGACTGACGAGATGGGTTGAATCAAAATTACTTATCATTCGACGGTTTGTTTCAATCCTCTATTCATCTACCTCAAAGACATCTCTGGTATTTTGTTGTGCTTTTTGAATCAGGTCGATGTGCCAAGGGAATCTATGAGATTTGGATTTTACGTAAGGATTCACCAAAGCTGCGGCCAACCAATCCCTTTATCTTATATTGCTATCTTCTATCTCTACGTTTTATTTTTTTGGAAGACCGGAATAAACTGTCCATCTGGAAGCTGTTGATTCAGGACATCTATTTTCGCATATAAAAATAATTTACACGGACTTGGTAATAGTCTGGATTGATTCAAAACCCAAATCAATTTAGACATTCAAGGTAAAAGTTGCTTTCTCCAATAAACAATTAATGTCTATAATCCTGCTCATTTTGCTTTCCAAAGGAATTGATATCGAACAAGCCTTCTCCATCCCCAAGCTACTATCCGAATGCAAGCACTACAAAAGACCATCATTATCTAACTTTATGCCAGTTGATATATAGTTACTTTGTTTAGACGGGCCTCTCAAATAACAAATTGAGTTCATCACTCCGTGAGTGCTTGATTTTGATTGGCCTAAAGATTTGTTTATTCAAGGCCGTCCTACCTGTAAAACCCTTACACACCGCCTCTCCTACTCTGTCTACAAAATATGCACAGGACTATTCTGCTTTAGATCAGTCTCACCCTATGCCCTCGCAATAGTCCATATTGTTGTGTTTTATGGTATCTGGATAATCTCCACCTTTTCCACTAAAAGTAAACTTTTTCTGATTGGATTTTAATAAAAAAATCTACTCTTGAAGACTCTTCCTCTCGAGGAGAATTGCCTCTTCCGAACTCATATTCGCCTCCATGGAAGTGTCGTTTGGCTAGCTAAATATTTTGCATATCAGTGTATTCAAGCCATAATTACAACCCAGGATCATTACTTAGATATCGATTACAACTTGTATCAAAATTCTTGACCAAATATGTCAAACAGTGACCGTATCCTCCAGTTAACGCCCCCCCAGGAGGACCAGCTCTTACTTGACCAGATAATGATTGACTCGGCAAAGCTGAAGCCTCCCATATGTACAGCCTATGGATCATGCCTCCTCACTCATTCAACATACCTAGATGATGACGGCGCCAATGTTCCACTTATTTATCAAAGACACGAGTCACCTTCTCCGTCGTCACCACCGCCATCAGAAACCACAAGAACCCGTTGTCTGGTAAATAAAAGCTCAGAGAGTGAACTATATCATGATCTGGAGAAGTGAGTATAAGCAAGTCTGTCAGACTTCAATGTTTTTGCTAGGTACAGCGAACTTTCAAAATTCTTTAGATTTAAATTAAACATTTTTTTCATGCCTATGGTTCCTCAATGCTAATTCAGTCCTGATAATTAAGAGAAAGCAGGCCATTATACTCTTCTTCCTCTAAGCTTCACACATCACTATTTTACGCAGAGGCCAATTTTGACAAAAGTTATCCGGCATACCATTCATCATTAAGGCTTATAGATTTTACTTGAAGTGCCTATGAAATATTTAAAAGTGACTCAACATTATCTTAAATTTAGCCAAGCATTTAGATTAAACTCTATAAATGTTTCGATTAATTTCGATTAAATGTCCAAGAAGCAAGCAGATCAAGAACCATAAGCAATTCAAACAAATTAAACAAAACCAAGCCGTTTTTATTTAATTATGGCTGGAATATTTAGCGAAATTTTTACCAAGCTAGTAAAATAAATGAACTAGTTATTTTTGTCTTGAACTAGAGATTGCATGTCTAAAAACTAGGGATTCTGGACTAGTTATAAGATATTGTACTTTTATTTTAAACTATCCACACTCAACCTTTCATGCAGTTGCCTCCGATAGACAAGTATCAAGGTTAAATTTAACTGTCAGGAAACGTCCATATGCTCTATTCATTTGTCTAAGCACTGTGAAGGCCTGGTTACGAGCTGTCTTGACATATGTGATTTGCTCCCGGATCTATATTCCGATATGCCACTATACCCGCAATTTTCTCTCATAAATTTCCAAATATCTGCTATTTATCTGTCTTTACCTTAGGAAAAACCTTTATTACTTAATTATTTTCATTTAAAAACTGTATATCTCAGTAGGGTTAGTTTTTCTGAGGGAAATCAGAATTAAATTCTTAATGCTACTCAAAGGTTTCATAGTATTTGCCCCAATGAATTTCCCTCTTAGAGTATAGTTGTATTGGCGATGTGGTACAGACCTAAGTGAACTCGAAAATTCGACCCCTTTCGACGAAATCGATATTACATTTTTAGTGTAATTAAGTTACTTATATGATAAACCAATTCAAATTATGTATTTGATCCAGTTCACTTCCGTTGGTAATTTGAGAGTTTAGTAAGCAGCGACAACAGAATATCCAATGAATAATGAAGTTATGAGAAAATTTGAGTTTATGAAAATGTGTGAGTTAAAAGCAGACACCATTTGGTTGCTCACAAATGTGGTGTCATCGTAGGTGCAAAATGAACGTGTTTTCCCTTGGAAGGACCATTAACGTCAACTATATTGTGGATATTTACGTCTTGTTATAATTCGTAGTGGAGGGTTGATCTTGTTTGGAGTCAGGTGGGTGGGTTTGGCAGATCTAATGGTTAATTGAGCTATATATTGCTAAAGGCTAGTCGATCGACAGCATAGGTATGGAGACTGGGAGTCTGATGCACAAGCAGTTTATGTGTGAAAGGGGAAATATGGTTTGGAGGGCCTACTATGTAAGATAGTACTTTCTGCCTCAGATTATGTGTCTTATAGATCGGGAGATAAATCGGGAAAAAGAATAGAAATTTATTAAATAAGTATCGTGCCACGTTATGTGATTAAATTGGTGTGATGATTCGAAAGGAACATTATCACCTTAAGTCGTAACATAAATTCAATCAAATACTCTGACCATTAGGAAATAAAAATTATTATAAAATTATTTGCGACCCTTTCCTAATGTCCCAGTCGTTTGCTTGGTAGGCGCTATAAGATGCCAAAATGAATTCTACAATTTCTATTATTTTGATGGTGAGAATTAAGTAACCAGACTAACTTTCATGTCTGTTTGTTAAAATATGTTTAAAGATATATGTTTTTCGTTTTAGTGTCATTTTACAACAATTTATGATGTATGTTTTAGTTTACTATGGAGTTTTAAGGGAAAGGACATATTTTACAAAAGCTCGATGTAAGACTTTTTTAATAAACGGCTAATTAATTTTAGAGTACATCCTAAAAATGGCATAATAATCATTTTTTATGATCATCCTGTATTATTTTGTGTCATTTAAGCAACTAAATAGTTAAATATTTTCGGTCTTTATATCAATTTATAATGTAAATTTGTTTATCTTAGATCCTATAACTGAAAAGTACACTCCAGTTATATATATCAGGCTTTCATTAGTGTCAGCAGAATCTCTTATTTATTCATAATGAGTAGGTTCGCGAGACCAACAGTAGATTTTGAAGGAGAACTGAGGAGACCCTAAGTCATTTGAATTGATAAAGGATTAATAGTGAGTTTTCCCTTAATGACATGAGTAGGCCTCACGATGTCAATGAATTCCAATAAATCTCGTCCCCCAAAAGAATTCTTATCTTGGGTAGGCTTCAGTATATACTTCTCCTGAATCTCATGAGTTTCC